TCCCGCCCCTCCCGCCCCTGCCCGCCCTCCTTTCCCCTCTTGTTATTAAGGAGAACAGCAGCTGGCCCGACCGAACTTCAAACGCCGTCCCCGCCCCCCCACCCGCTCCCCAGCTCTCCGAGGCCCTCTCCCTCTACCCAGCCCCGCATGCCAGGGGCCCCGGCTGGGGGAGCCCATGAAACACCCCTGATTCCTATTTATTCCCTCTAATTTTGCACATTCTGTGGGTGTAGGATGCCAAAGTACGACCCTCCGACTTTGGCGTCTTATAAAAGTGATCCCAATACTCCTGCCCATGTATTCCAGATCCAGGAAGGGAGGGTCGGTTGCTTGAAGATGGGCTGAGCTCAGACGATTGGGAAATAGATTCCTTAAGTGAAAAGGAAGGGGGGCGATTTTGGAAAATAGCAACCTCGCATACCCAGAGATAAAGGTTATGTCCCTGAAGCTTATGTTCCTGATAACTTCGAAGCTGTTTCAAAAGCCCGATTAAAGGGACCGGAGACTACGTCCCGCCTGCCCCCCCCCTCCCCGTCCCCCGAGATGCGTGGACAGGAAGAGGAACGGGTGGGTGTTAGGAGGGAGGGGGGCTTCTCTGGCTTCATCGAATGGGATCCTCGTGTGCTTGGGGGCGCTACCCACTGGGCAACGCGGTGAAGTGCCGAGGGCTGCCGCAGGCCGGGGGCAGGGCTACCAGCGGTTCCTGCGTGGCCGCCGGAAAAAACCCGCTTCCTTGCCCCTGCGTCTGCTGACAAGCCGCCCGAGGTGCCTGCGCCGAGCGTGGCCACCCTGATACAGCTTTCTAGGAAATGGCCCGGGAGGGGGAGGGGAGGGGGCGAGGGCGGGATTAGGTTGGCTCACCCTCGCACCCCCTGCGCAATCCACCACCCCTTCCTTTCCCCGGGCGCCTAAGGCTTCCACCCTGGTCCCTCGCCGGCACCCTCACCGACCCCTCGGGGATGGCGCCTCGCTCGCCAGCCAGGGCCTCCTCCCCGGGAGCGGGATTGCGGTGGACACGCTGCCAGCGCAGTCGGCCCCGCCATGTGCTCTAACGCATCCTCGAGTCAAGGCTGGTTTTCCAGGGGATCTGGCGGTGTTTCCCCACCTCCCTCCCGCCACCCCACCCCCCGCCTTTCCGTGCATTCCACTTGGGGAGGAAGGGGAGAGAGCCCGGAGCCCCCAGCGTGCTGGCCGAGCTGGCACGTGCAGTGAGCATGGCGCGGGTCGGGCTCTCTGGGCACACCGGGGAGGACCGAGTACCTCCTTCGCCGAGGAAGGGGGCCCGAGCAGGGGCGCGGAAAGCAGGCGGGGAGGGCGGGCGCGCGGGCTGTGCACTGGGTTCCCCGCGAGGCGGAGGAGGGGAGCGAATAAACCAGAGGTGCCGGCGATTAACTCAGGCCCGGGGCCAGCCCCTTCAAACGAGGGTGGGGAGGAAGGGGTAGGTGGGGGTATAGGGGATATCGCTTTAAAAGGGTGAGTAAGAGTTTGGGGCGCCATCTCCCCTCCCTCTATTTGCATAGCCAATAGCTCTGGGGCTCCTGCTACTGCGCGCTGATTGTTACCGGGCAGATTACTTTTTTTTTTTTTTTTTTTTTTTTTTTTTTT